GACAAGTTCATATTCCGGATCTTTACTTTGTTGATCTCCTCTCTTTGTGCATGTGCTTCCACTAGTCTAGCCTCTCTTTGTCAAGTTCATATGCCAGATCTTTGCTTAATTGATCTCTTCTCTTTGTGCATGTACTTTCCACTAGTCTAGTCTTTCATTGTCAAGTTCGTGTTTTGATGTGAAATCCCAGATCTTTACTTCGTTGATCTCTACTCTTTGTGCATGTGCTTTCCACTAGTCTAGTCTCTCATTGTTAAGATCGTGTTCTGGATCTTTGCTTAGTTGATCCCTACTCTTTGTGCATGTACTTCCATTAAGTCTAGTCTCTCATTGTCAAGTTAATGTTCCGGATCTTTGCTTAGTTGATCTCTTCTCTTTGTGCATGTACTTTCCACTAGTCTAGTCTTTCATTGTCAAGTTCATGTTTTGATATGAAATTCCGGATCTTTACTTCGTTGATCTCTACTCTTTGTGCATGTGCTTTCCACTAGTCTAGTCTCTCATTGTCAAGATCGTGTTCCGGGTCTTTGCTTAGTTGATCTCTTCTCTTTGTGCATGTACTTCCACTAGTCTAGTCTTTCATTGACAAGTTCATATTCCTGATCTTTACTTTGTTGATCTCCTCTCTTTGTGCATGTGCTTCCACTAGTCTAGCCTCTCTTTGTCAAGTTCATGTTTCGGATCTTGTTTAGATGATCTTCTTTTCTATGAGTATGTGTTTTCCTTAAAGTTTGGTCTAGCTTCTCATTGGCATGTTATTCCAAGATATACTCATTCAATCTCTCACTATGGGAGGGGTGATCGACGTTTGGCTACTATTACGGGGAACTGATTTAATTGGGAGTTCTTCTTGTGTTCTCTCCCTCTTTCTCTCCCTCTTTCTCTCTCTCTCTCTCTTGCCTCTCTCTCCCCCACGCTTTCTCCCCTCGTCTCTCCTTTCGCCTTGCCTCTCTGTTTCCCTTCCCCTCACTTGGCATATGACTAACCACTCTCCCCTCACTTGTTACATTGCCAGGGTGCGAACAGTAAAGAGAGACCAGACCTCACTTGGTAGAGAGAGAGGGCAAGGGAGGGATAGCCGGTCCCTTGTGCCACCAAGAAGGCAAAGAAAAAAAAAAGGGGGGGGCGTTGGGAGAAAGTGGGAAAAAAACGAGATCCGGAGAAAGCATAAGTCGAGGAAGAGGCCAGTTTGACTCAACCATTTCCCCGACTGCATGACTATGAGAAGAGGATGGGCTGATTGAACAACAAAAAAGGAACAAAGCACAGCCAAAGAGCATGGAAAGGATAGGCATGTGGGAAGGGCTATGTGTTGACCCCCAACGGGCCAACGGGGGACATTGTATGGATCTTCTTGCTTGTGTGGGATTGTGCAGGTGAGTAACGGCTAGAAATGCCTTAAGCGGGATAGGGGTGAGAGGAACTGGGCATCAAGAGGAAAAGGAAAAGGGGACGAAGGGGCTATGGGACCCTTGACATAGAGCCAACCCATGAAAATGACTTTTGCGCTTGAGACTTTGAAGTGTGATTGAGAGTGCAATCGTGCCAAGGAAAATGTGATGTTGTGTGTGCATGTATATGAGGACCCCGAAAAGCCTAGGGGGCCTACTTCAATAAGGTGGGAAGCAAATTGTGAGATCCGATAAATGCGTAGAGGCGAGGAAGAGAACGGCTCCGCCGCATCCCGATGACGCTATATAACCAAAATGCTTAGGGAAATGGTGCGTGGCATAAGGATGACGCTTAGCCTACGCACAAGAGAAGAGAAACACTCAAAGTATCCTTGGACTGTCTCCGTATTGGAAGGAGCAATTGCATGAGAACACCACAAAGAATCAAAAGAAAATCAGCGTTGCGGGGCGACCAGCGAGACTACCACCCGGCGTGAGGGCTGAGCTACATCCCCAATGTCAAAGCTCTTCACGCGATGGCCCACCCCCATCGATCTCAAAGCAGTAGGTGGGGGTGACCTCGGGACGAACGGTCCGTGCCTCGAGCATGAGCGTGGGCGGGCCGAGCCAACTGGGACCCGCAGTGAGGTCGACTAAGGCTCGAAAGTCAACCGGGGTTTGGCCCTACACCGACCACAGGAAGTTATCTGTCGACTGAAGAAATAAGGTTCTCTTCGTGTTGATTGAGACTAGACTAAAGAGTCCGGAGATCGCACTTGCCGAAGGCATTGTGCACATAAAATGGAAAGATACGGGAGACGTGACATCTATCGCACCGTTCGGGTACGACCCTTTGAAGGCGGACATCAGGAGTGCAGAGCTTAAGGAAGCGGTGGTTGCGATAAAGAGCCACACGTTCGTCCTCGATCTGTGCAGACCGGTTGACCTGAAGCTGTGGAAACCCCAAGCGTTGGAGACTTCGGACGTGGTGTCCGCCGCATTGGACTCTCGTTGTTTTCGTGCCGCGGCAGCACAACCTCTCATTTCTGGCCAGCATGCACCATCTTTCTTTCGTAAAGCTGCTGGAAGGGAAGTGGGTGAGGAGGAATCAACAAAAGAAAAGCTTCCCCGTGGGGAACAATTTGTACATGGAAGACGACCGCATATACATCCTCTTCAAGGGTGACGATCTGCACGTTAGACGAGGGAAGGATGCCGAAGGGTGCTGCTGTTGTGGTGCGGTTGCCTTCAAGTTAGAGGGTTACCCAGACGGATGTGTCGGAGATTCCCTTCACCCCTTGCGACTGGTCGCAACAGCGCCTGAACGACAGGGTAGTGTCTACAGGGATATGGAACGGAATCCGACACAATTCGTTGGTCTTCTTGATTTCGTTAGCAAGAGGGGAAAGGGTGTCGTCTTTCTTAGGAAGCCGTACGCGCAAAGCGTGTGGGAACTTCTGAAAGCAGGTTGGCACGTTGTCGCGATGGAAGGGAACTCCGACCTGTTGCGATTCCAACTCGTCAAAAGCGAGGTCAATTCGGGGGCCCACAATTGCAAGTTCATGGTCGTGAAGGCGACACGGGATCGGGTGTGGAGCAACAAGACGGACATGTGATTCAAGTTGAGTGAGGGGAAGAGGAACAAGATGTACGACTTCTTGTTCCTGCAAATGCGGTCTAGGAAGGACACTGACGCCATGTACGTCCGCCGCAGGGACCACATATTGGCGTTGCTCGACAACCACCACTTCACCTCCCGCATGAACGAGAAGACCTTCCTCGAAAGGTTGCAGTCCCTTTACTTTGTCAAGTTCGAGGAGGAGTTGAAGTTCGACAGTTACGCTTCCTTGATCTCCACTGACGGCGAGGCAACCACCGATGTCGAGTTCGACGCCAATGCCAAGGAGGAGGAGAGCGACACCGAGAGCCTCGACCTGCAGTATGACCCACCTCCGGCGGAGCACGCCCGAGGGTTCTCGTTGGCCGGTCCGTGAACAAGCCCGACACCCCTCGTGTTGTCGATGGCCAAACCGGCGCCGGGCACTACGCCGATGAAGTTGTTGGAGAGACTGAAAGCTCTGGCCATCCCCCCACGCGCATGGCGTCCCAGGTTCGGCGTCCCGTCCGATCATCTGTCTTGGAAGGATGGCAACATTCACTTCCTTCTTAAGCCGCAAAGTCATTCGCCTGAGGTGGACTAGGGCCATGACATGATTTGGCATCCAGGAGTCATCCAACCCGCGATACAAAAGGGCGAGTGGATCATGGCCGTTGCAGTCTCGGGCGCGGGATCGGTGTCCATACCTCGCGAGTCGAAGTCCACTTTCCTCCACCTCGCGAGGATTTCGGTCCTCCAAAAAGTGAGGGTCGAAAATGATATGTTTGCACCCGACGACTTGTCCGTCGTTTCCACAGTCGGGCGACAGTTCGATGAGTTTAAGAACAAGTGCTGGTTGGAACTGACGGAGGACGACTACAAGCTCGACACGAGCCCGTCGAAGGGCATGGTGGACTGGAAAGTGGCCCCTCCCTGTGGGGCGCACGGGAGTTCCGGGGGGGGGGCACCAGGCGGTGAAGGGGACGGGGGTGGCAGTGCGGGGGGTGGCAAAGGAGTCCCGCCTAGTAGGGAGGGCGGCACCACGACACCGGGAGGCAGAGGTGGGGTGGCGGGTTTGGCCGTCGATCGACATCCGTCTACTGGCCCCGGACCAGAGCATGTGACGGCGGTGACGCAGTCCGCCGACCTCCCGACTTCGTCTGCCGGCTCAGCGAGGGAGACAATGGCAGCCTTGGTTGCTCTAAGTAGCCGCTCGGGTGGAACGTTAAAGTCCGCCGGGATCCGAACTACGTCGGTTGAGGTGTCACCAAGACGGTCCACCGTGCAGAGCCGGTCGGGGGTGGGGGAGCCGAGCACGAATCCCATAATTGGCAGCGGTGCGGTGAGGGACGGGAATGCGTCGTCTGAGCGGAAGCGACGACCGCTGGGATCTACAAGTGCAAGGTCCGGCGACACGGAGACGATGAAGTCCGCAGAGATCCGAACTTCTTCAGGGGGGAGGGGTCGGCCAGGGATTGTCGTACCGTCGGGAGGGGCAACATGCACGGAGACAGAAGGGTGGTCGTCGGGATTCAACACGGGTTCCGGAGAAGGGGCTGAATTTCATGGAAGGGAAGGAGGGGAGGAAATGGAGGAAGGGAAGGAAGGGGAAGAAGGGGAGGAAGGGGAGGAAGAAGGGGAAGAAGGGGAGGAGGAGAGGAAGGGGGAGAAGCTGATTGAATTGCTTGAAGGAAGAGAGGGTGCCAAAGGGGACATTGGTATTGGAGAGGACGAAGGGGAGGACAGTGGGGACGATGCCGGATCTGTAGAGTCGTCTGACAAGTTCGAACAACTGTATGGAGAGCATCGCGAGGATGATGTCGCCAATGATGCCACGACAATGGAGACGGAGACACAAGTGGTTAGCAGCCTTTCTGCAGAGCCTGAAGACTATAAGGTCCAACCACTCACGTCTGTCGTCCATTTGCAACACCGGTTTGACGAGGTTTCCGTTGCTATGACCCCATCTAAAGCAAGTCGCCGTATAAGCATCGAAGAAGTTATCGACGGTATCCTCGGCGACCAACACATGTCCGCGCATCCATCCACAACACCTGACGTCGATGGCATTAGCAACATCAAACCTTCCGTGGTAGTTGCCCTCGCTTTCTCGCCACCGAACTCTCCGGTGCTGCTGGCTACCCTCGTCGGCGGAGGGGAAGGCGAGGTCAGGGGATAACAACATGTCACGTCCCCTAAAAAATCAAGGGTCGACACTCAAGCTCTCGACGTGCTCGCTTTGCCCGCGCCAACTTCACCGACGAAGGAGCGGAGAGACAAACCGACTGGTAAGCTGTGAAGAACATCACAGTGTCTGAGCACCCAGGCTTCCGAAAACGAGAGTGCAACGTCCTTCGTAGTCCGGATGTCGGAGGACTATAGTCTGCGCCATACACACGAGGACTGTCCACACTGTCTGTCGATACGGGAACTTCCGGATGTCGATATACTACAGCCTTTAGTCCTTCCAATTACATCTTATCGGCCTTTCTGTGAGTCAACCAGGTTGGTGGTCGCGAGCAGGGAAGACTTCAACGAAAACATGACACTCCATCAAAGGAAGGATCTATCATTCTATGAAGTATGTTTTTATTGAAGCATTCTCTCACAATAGTCTCCCCGGCTAAGAATCTGACCAACTAAATAGAATGACAATTTTTTTTTTCTCGGAAAGAGTGGTGGTTTAAGTTAGCCAGGATCCACACTTCCTATGTCGATGCGTAATTTGGTTAGTCTCAGTGGGTCTTCTGTGGGAAAACGTCTGCCGAAATCCGAGCTTCGAGGAATGTTGGTCTTCCGCTTCTGTGACTTGTGGTAGTTTTTCTTTGTGAAGGGCGCGGGTGTCAAGTTCGAATGCGCTAGTCGTTTTGTTTTCCAGCCGCACAGACGTACCTCGGTGCTGATGGCCATGCAAAATCGGGGTTCTACAATTGGAGAGGTCCTGCGTCTTTACGATTATGTGGTTCTCACATTGTCACATTCGTCGGATTCGTGTTAGGAAATGTGTATCCATTTTCCGTTTTGTCTTTCTTCTGTTGTACAGGGGTGGGATAATCTCGAACACGGAGGTCTTTGAAATATCCGAAACACATATTGCAAAAAGTCCCTATGTTGACGACAAAACACAAGGATATGTTAAAGGAATTAGGGGTTGATGTGAAGATTGGGAGGAAGGAACATGTCATTGCCATTGAGAAATGTATTTCTCTTATGGCCCCTGAGAAAGGGACATATCCACGATCTGTGGGTAGGGGTCAGGCCATATATGAGAAATACTTAGCAAAGCGTCGTGCAATGGGGGACAATGCTTAGAACTCCGTTTCTCACTACCCCACATGTCCTTTCCTCGACGTTGTGCAGTGCGGGCCACAACATGTGGAACTCGCGGGGAAAGATTCGTTGCAGTAACTGCGTCTCGAAGCTCGCGGGTTTTGGACGACATTAAACGAAGCTCGGTGTCACCACACACCGCTCTCTGTACCCTGGTCGATGGTCAATTGCAAATTGCAGCAAAAGATCTCCTCACCCTCTTGCATATCGACGACAGGGTGAATGATTAGGTGGTCAATTTCTATATGGCGCTATTGGGGTCGACCACATGTGCGTCACGTGACATCCAGTTAGGCCTTCAAGTCTTCATGTTTAATTCGTTCTTCATCAGTAAACTACAACTTCAAGGACACAGTGGGGTGGAAAGGTGGACTAAGAACGTAGATCTGCTTCAATACGATATTATCTTCGTTCTTGTCCACAAATATAATGATCACTGGATCCTCCTTTCCGTTAATTTGAGAGATAATATCCTCGAAATTTTCGATTCTTTCGCTCGTGTTGTCGTTGATTCGAGTTTTTACAATCGTGTTTTTGAGTTGATTGTACAGTATTTGGAACGTCCAACATTACATAGACGGTCGGGTGGGAGTTGGAAATCGATAGCGGGAAATGTTATGGTGGAAGGAGTTCCAAGACAAGTGGATGGGGCTAGTTGCGGTGTGTTCATGTTGATGTTTACGACGCTGTTGCAACGTGGTGATCGACCACCTTTTAGGTTCTCTTATAAAGATATCCCGCTTATTAGACGACAATTGCCATCATGTATCTTAGAACGTCGTTGTCTTTGATGGATTTGATTGACTTAGAAACTTTCTTTTGAAAGTATTTCATTCATTATTGATTATGATTTACAAATTATGACATTATTTAACTGTCGTTTTGACAACGACATTGGTTTCTTTTATTGTTGCGAGTTTGAGTTCTCTTCGGCAGGCTCATTGCATGTCTGGCGTCATGTATAGACTTTGTAATCTCTGCCACGTCCCAATCGTCTCTTATGCGGCGGAACAAGTACGCATTGCGTTCCATGTTTCAAATTTTGTTCAACTCAACCAAAAGTGTATGTATGATTGACATCAGATAATATCCGTAATTTTTGTGCGATATGACAAATTGGTATGTGGATGCGTGACAAATCTCAGCGAGTGTGTGAGTGTGCGGTTCATTATGTAAAGATCACTAGCATCATGTCTCTTGTATGTGCATAGAATCACATGTCTTGTGACCACCTGCATTACATGTAACAAACAACTTTGTTTTTGTACCCAAACTTTTTTTGCACGGTCATTTAAAGTGCGGATTTCGATCGAAAATAAGCAAAATTTAAAGTTCTTGTGTAATATGACAGTTGTTGTCGCACAAAACGAACCTGTATATCAAAATTAACTGGTTGTTACAATACACCTTGCTCGTCACAATTGTAAACAAGAATGGTTCTCAACACACTTCCTCATATCGGGCGAGATGATGGGCGTGCCTATCATTACACTAAGTATTCTAGAGACGTTCGGATCTCATCAATATCCAAACAACCGTCCCGGGCGAGATGATGGGTATGCTTGCACAACTTAGGGATACCCTCGTAAAGAAATGTATTATCCAATAAGGATTCAATCATGCCACCTTGCTCACCACATTTATAAACTTTAAGCTTAACAAGTACGCATCTCTGCACACTTTCCCACAGGGTTCCCAGATGGGCATGCCTATCATTACGCTAAGTCTTCTAAACAAGTCCGGATCTCATCAAACATCCAAACATCCGTCTTAGGCGAGAGGATGAACCTGCCTGTACAACTTAGGAATAACCTGAAGAATTATATTATCCAACAAGGATTCAATCATGACACCTTGCTCATCTTATTTATAAAGTTTAACAAGTATGAATTTCAACACACTTCCGCATTTAGGGCGAGTGGATGGGCGTGCCTACGTTCCTTAGGCAGCAACCAAAAATGAATTCGTTAGAAAGAAGACACAATATAGTATCCTATTTTAACGAATAACATGTTAGGTGACGTCGTCCTGTCGGATGAAGTGGGCGAACTGCCAGGGCGAGGTAATGGTGATAGTAGGAGATGGTGTGGGCGTGGAAGGCTCCGGGGGAGGAGGATTGGGGCATGGTGCCGCAATGGTACCTATGAAAGGTACGCGATATATATGTCCATACTTCGTTCTGAGAACGAGAGTGTTGATCGCCCAATCAGCCTCGGTGCTACGAAACCTACGAGACCACGGAGTACCGAGAATGAAGTCGTACCTCGTCTCCATCACATCGAAATGTGCAGAGGAGCGGTGACGACGAGACGCCGGGGGACGATCAGTCGGTTCCAGAGTGAGGAAGAAAGGGAGGTCGGTGACCGTCTGATCGAAGAAGCGCTGAGTCTTGTCATCCCCTAAGGTGACGGAGATGGGAGTCGGAGACCCTGTCGTGGGTAAGCGGGCTTCTTTTACCACACATGGGTGAATGAAGTCGCCCTGAGAACCGGAATCCCATATCGTTGAGTACACCCTCGTGGAGGTCCCCCGTCGTACAGGAATGATCGGGAGGGTGTGATCAGGGTCAGAGAGGATGACGAGAAGGCGACACAGTGCAGCGACCTGGAGGGTGAGTCCCTCCTGACGAGCTTGGAGCATGCTCAAGTCTAGGACACAACGTCCTTGTGAGTCGCAAGTTGCTCACTGCAACGGGTTGAGCGAGTGGCTCAACACGTCGGTAGTCGTGGAGAGGTAGGAGGGGAGACGGTGATCTGCGGAGGCGCAGACGGAATTGTGACAGAGGGTTGAGTACACTCTGTCGGGTCCTGCGATACCTCAACTCTAGTAGTGAGAGGGGCAAACCGAGACGGAGATATCGGAAAGCCGATTACTGAGGCTAGGAGGCGCCGCGGGGATGTGAGGTGTCGGGGGGGGGACTAAGCACGATGTTGGTGAGAGAGCTCAACGTAGTGGCGGTAGAGGGCAGTCGTATTACTGCACCGCGAGAAGGTATGACCGTCCTGGCGGCAGCGCAAACACCCATGCCGGCGCAAAATGGTCACGCACTCCTCAGTGGAAAAGACGCTGCAAGGAGGGACAAAACCCTGAGGGTGGTCTTGCTGAGGGACCTCGGAGGGCGACGCGCCAACGTGACCAGAGCGGTTGCGTGCCTAGGAGAGGTTAGAGAACGCGAGCTGGAGGCACTCGGCTATAGGGAGAGTAGAGTCCTCTACGTTGTAGTGGATGGCCTCGCAAAGGTCGAGGTCGTCGTTGTGGTCACCCTTAGGCGACAACGGGGCGACAACGTCCTGCTCACCATACTCGAGTGCACTGAAGTGGCGCCAAAAGTGACGACCCTGCTGCGCGGAACGGCGGGGACGACCATGGAAAGGGGTACGACGCTGGGAAGTGTCGTGAGAGAAGGAGAGAGTGTAACCAGTATGCTAAAGCTGGGAGGAGGAAATGTGCTGAAGACGAGCCCGCATCCGCTGATGGGCCCTGGYGGCCTCGTAAGCCTGCGGGGCCGATATGAAGTCATACCGCCATAACTCGGAGCGGTACTCAAGGGGAAGGATGGCCAAGAAACAATCGATGAGGGCAGCCTCGGGGAGGAACGCCACATCACAAATGAGGCGGGCGTCCTGAAAGACCTGGATGTGGTGGTCTAGGACGGCAGCGCCACCAAAGCCGGACCAGCGTGTACTGACGACACGCTCGAAGGCGTCAGTCACATCATGTCATGCTCCGAAGCGATCCTCGAGGAACGCCTGAGAATCCATGAAGGTCGGGGTCCAACCCCCACTAAGGGAGTGGGTGTAGAAACTCTTTCAGGCATCGAAAAGACCGCCACGAAGGCGCTTGGAGAGGTGAGCCACCCACATGTCCGGTGGGACGCCCATGAGCTGGAGC